ATAAGACAGACTTAAAAATCCGACTAACAAGTCAGGAGCCAATTGTTAAAAACATAAATGTCGGGGAAAGTTACGATTTCGTGATGTCTGGTGACCTGTCTTGAAAGGACCTTATACATACAGTAATGAGAATGATTATAATGACCCTTTGAAGTTTAAAAGCCGCTAACCGTTTGCCGCTACGTGACCCAGGGACCGAGTTGGAGGGGATGGACCTTACTTGAAAGCTCACCGGGATGTCTGACGGTTGTTACTGTTTACGTCGCCTCTGGATTGATCGCCCGTCTTCCCTTACATGCGATGAAACAGCCACCGAGGTCGGGTGAGCCTCGCCCGAGAAAAAGTAGATCGAGTGACGCGGTGAACAATGATGTCATCGGTGTCATCGGTGAACAAGTGATGTCAACTGTGGTATGAGCGCTGAGTAGTGAGCACTCATGAGTAGGCCTCACACCACGACTGAATCGATGAACTCGCAACGGCAATGTTAGTCCCCTCAAGTGGATGAGACAGAGAAGTGTTAGGTCATTTATTCGGCAGCAACCTCTACGGAAACTTCGATCACCGATAAATCTAATAAGGATAGCATGCCAGTAAACTATCGATTTTCGAACATCGAGATAATGGATTCTTATATGATGAATTCTTTTGGCTTTTTCCATGACTTTGGGTTTGGATATTTTATTAGGTCGTTCAATAAGTAACGAACAATCGGTCATAACTTCTTTATTTCTTTATTTCACACTTTCAAACTTTCACAGATTATAGATCAGACATTTCTGAATGCAGCCTATGCCTCAAACCAGCCGCCGCCCGCCTGCACACACTTCTCCCAGCGTTCCGGCCATCGCCGGAATTCCGCCCGGAAAAACGCGTTTTCCGTCTTTTTCACCCAGTTCATGACAGTGCACATGACTTCAGCGTCGGTCTCGAAGTGTTCACCACGGAGGCCATCCTTCAGGGGACCAAAGAGGTGAAAATCTGAAGGAGCCAGGTCCGGACTGTAGGGCGGCTGGGGCATGATATTCAGCCCTGTCACGCGATCTCCTCGCGCGTGGCGTGAGACAAGTGCGGTCGGGCGTTGTCATGGTGTATGGTGATGTTGTTGACATCCGAGCCGCGCCTCTTCTTCAGGATTGCTTTTCTCAGTCTCCTGCATGACTGTGATGTAGCGGCCCGCTGTCCATAGTCCGCCCAGGTTCAAGAAAGCCCACCAGGATGACACCATTGACCATGACAACGCTCGTCCGCAAATGCCTCACGCCACACGCGAGGAGATCGCGAGACAGGGCTGAATATCATGCCCCAGCCGCCCTATGTACAGTGCGAACCTGGCTCCTTCAGATTTTCACCTCTGGTCCCCTGAAGGATGGCTTCCGTGGTGAACACTTCGAGACCGACGCTGAAGTCAGGTGCGCTGTCAAGCACTGGGTGAAAAAGACGGAAAACGCGTTTTCCGGGCGGAATTCCGGTGTTGGCCGGAACGCTGGTAGAAGTGTGTGCAGGCGGGCGGCGACTGGTTTGAGGCAAAGGCTACATTCAGAAACATTTGATCAGGGGCTCCGCCACGGTTTTGGGATTGGGGGGGTCCGACCCAAAACACAAAACCTCACTGGCGAATCCAGGGTGGCATTCAAGGGGATGCCACCGCAACGCCAGAAATCACCAGGATGCCACCCCCCCCCCCCCCCCACTGCTGCGCCCGAAATCGACGACAAATTGCTGTTTTTCTTGAGTACAAAGAAACATAACAATTGTATTGGAAGAGGTTTGCTTTAAGTTTAAACTGCAAAACAAAGGTTCAGATTGCATAAGGAATCGAAAACCGAAGAGCAGAGCCCTATTGACACCGACATGGGGGCCTCTAAAATTGACGTTCTTGAGGAGTAGAGGCCAGTGTTGCGCACTCCAAAGGCGGAAGGTATTGGCCATCAGAGAACGCATTGGACTCTCAGTGACTGGCATGGGCTTGGGGGACCTACATAGGCCCTCAGGTATCTACGTAGGCTCTAAAGCCAGTGTAGAGCTCTCCTAGGCCGTACTTAAAGGAAAGCTCAGGGCTTTAGCAGTTATTGTAAGGATTTGAAAGCCCTGCCCTCATATAGCAACATAGAGTCCTTTTAGAGACTGACAATTGACATTCAGATTCAGTCTCTGTGATGAGTGTGACCTATCCTGACCTGAAAATGGATATCAAAATGCTCCACTTGCTGTTGGGATTTTGACTTGTGAACGTCCTACCTCTACGAACCTGCAATAGAGCCCTGTGCAGATATATTGCAGATTACCTCAGAACGGTGTGAGGATGCTTAGACTAGTATGGTGCTCTGAAGGACCGACATGGACCCCCGACACTATATGGATAACCTCACATTGAAAGAGGATTCTCAGATCGATTTGAAGCTCTCTTAGGGCAGGTGTTGTGTCAATGAGGTGCCCTACAAGCTGGACCCCCCTCGCAAAATGGGATTTTAGTCAAATTCTAGCATACCTAGCTAATCCTAGCCATCTTAAATGCATTCATAGTAATAACAAAAATGGCGAAATGATGACACTCCCACGTTGACCGGTGAGTGTCACTGTCGAGCACTTTGTCTGCTATGACATTATAAGGGTTCCCTACATTTCTAGATCTTCAGTTCCTTAGCTATACGACTGTCAACACGCTCAAAATGCATATAGTGAATGATTTAGTCATTTTTACGCGAAAACAAGCTTATAGGTATCTGGAATATTGGGGGGTACTGTACCCCCCAGGTAAATTATTGAGGGGGTCCGGACCCCCGCGACCCCCCCCTGTGGCGGAGCCCCTGCATTTGATCTATAATCTGTGAAAGTTTGAAAGTGTTAAATAAAGAAATAAAGAAGTTATGACCGATTGTTCGTTACTTATTGAACGACCTAATAATATGCGTAGAAACAATCGGTTTGAGACTTAATTAACTTTATACATACATTGCTGCTTTTTCAGCACACACATTCCCGCCATTATTCCTGTTTGTCGAAGTTATGCCCATCACGGGAATTGTCTGCGCCAATGTCCGTGACGCCGACTAGGCATCAGGTGTGACAGACGCATTTTCACTAAAGCCATGAAACCCGAAACTCCCCATTGTAAGTGTAAAGGACGCCAATTTCCCTCGGGACTCGGGTATCCGTCTGTTCTGGAGCTGTTAGCCCTCATACATATGTACGACTGCGGTTCTCGACCGCAAGGGATCAGACTGCAGTCAAAGGCCGCCCTCGTGTCCAGACTGCAGTCAAATGCTGCTGTCCCAACCACACTGCAGTCAAAGGCCGTTCTCGTGACCAGACTGCAAAGAGCACTGCCGGAACCAGACTACAGCCACGACTGCAGCCATGCCGGCGTCGTGACCAGACTGCAGTCAAAGGCCCCTCCAGAGATCAGACTACAAAGGCCCCTCTCTAGTCTCTGGAACAGACCGAGGCTCTACGACTGCACGATCCCGGGACCGACAGCCTCGTCCGGCGGCGCCCGAGCCCGGCGGCGCTGCCGGGAGGCCGCGGTTGGCCCTGTGGCCGCGGAGACGAGCGTTGCGTGCGACTCCGTCATGCCAGCATCGGCTCACGGTGCTTTATTGCCGAATTAAACACCCGACATTCGGGAGCAGGCGGCGCCCGGACCCGTGCATGCGTTCGGGTGATTCGCACGGTATTGACGGTAGAGGGCCCGGCACATTACGCACCTGAGGTAGCCAGACTCGCGGTGTAGCTGAACATGTAACGGACAACTGATCAGTGAAGCTCGTCATCAATCCAGCTGCCAATCAGCCAATCAACATATTTTCCCAGTCGTCAGTCGAGCAGTCATTCAGTCTCTCAGTCTACAACCAACAGTGCGACAGTCAGCCTCTCAGTCAAACAGTGCGACAATCCAGAGCTCTGTCCGTCCAACAATCAGCCCGGCGGCTTGTCAGTTAGCTCTGTCAGTCCAACAGCCCGTCAGTCCAACATCCCGTCGTTTCAACAGTCCGTAAATCTAACAGTCAGTCACCTCTGTAAGTATAGCAGTCTGTCGGTCCAACAATCCGTCAGTCCAACAGTAAGTTAGTTCTTTCAGTCCAACAGCCCGTCGATCCAACAGTCCGTAAGTCCAACAGTCCGTCGGTCCAACAGTCCGTCAGTCCGTCAGTCCAACAGCCCGTCAGTCTGTCGGTCCAGCAGGCCGTCAGTCGAACAGTCAGTCGGTCCAACAGTCCGTCAGTCTATCAGTCCAACAGCCTGTCGGTCCAACAGTCAGTCGATCCAACAGTCCGTCAGTCCTGTTAGTCCACTAGTTCTCTAGCAATGCTCAACCCAGCCAGCAGCCTGGGTAATGGAGACGGCTGACTGCTGTTATCGTCATTTTGTCAATGATCTGTCGATGCGCAAAAGGTGAACATGTTCCTAAGCCGTGCATGATGCATCTTGGTGCTACATAGCAGCGCGTTTCTCCTAACTACCCACTGTTGAATTAACAACAATCTCTACTGAAAGTAAGGAAGGCCTTTTCAAGCTAGGGCTCCTCCAGAAGGATGAAAAGTTCCAATCACCAGCTGTCACAAGTGGGAAATGTTCAGGGCCAGTCCAGGACGCCTTCTTTGGAACTGTACCGGTCCGCAGACCTAGCACTGGACAGTGGACAGCACAGCACACACTCCAGAGCTTCAATGCCGGCGGCGACACCAGCTGGTGTCTCAACGCAGCTCAGAGGTGGGCGCCGGGCTGTCGTAATTAGGCTGTTCAGCTGGGTCGCGCAGCTGTTCGGTCTATAGGTGAGACGTCCAATGTTCGTCCACTCAAAGCTTTGTTTTGCGGCAGGTATGGAATGCTGCCGATTTGCAATTAACCCACAACCATAGCTCTGTGCAGGATCATATTCAGTGGGAACTTCGCGGTAGGTAATAAACTTCCCTACACGCTTCGGAAACCGACAGCCAAAGCTCACCGTATGAGTTAGCTCATATTGCACCAAATGAAATCACCTGCGTTCATTTCAGAGTTGCGGGAGCCGGGAGGAGAGAGTGGAGAGAGTGGGGAGAAGGGAGAGGAGGCGGTTCCGGCGCCTGAGGAGCCACTCCGACCCGGCACATCAGCAGTGAGGGGCCTCTTGGGCCCGGCCGGCCGAGCTCCGGGTCGACCCTCTCCAAACAGCAGCATGTGTGCCAACTGGAACATCCTCTCATCCATAGAGAAGTGAGTATAGGCAAAATATGCGCCATTTGCCCTGCGACTGCAGTTGCACACACACAATGGTATACACGTACACGGGAGCTCACGGCTAACTAGGTCCACCCGTTGCAGTTAACCCTCGCCGGTACATGCCATTTTGTGTCCTTCGACGGCACAAGGGTTGGTACGACCCCCCCCCCCCCTCGCGTTTGGCCCCTGATTGAGGTAGAGCTTCGCGGAAAAAAAACGAGCGTGCTGCCCATCACGAGAGGAAGCCAATGATACCCAATTTTAAGGTCCTTGGTCATCGGTTGACCTTCCAGGTCAGGTCAATGACCAAACCAGGTCAGGTCAATGACCCAAAAATCGGGAATATCGGGACCTGTTAGAAAGTCGTAAAGTGTGGCTGCTAAGGGGTTTTCCGGGGTGCTGATCACGAATATCGTGTTAGTTTTGATCATAGATGATGTCGTTAAGCGTTTCGACCAGGTCGGGTCAGGTCAGGTCAGGTCAACCGATAGGGGTCGTGACGGGTATTCGTAGTACCTGTCATCCGCCTCTGATAGCTTCGTAACATGTAACGAAGGCACCAAAACTACTTCGTAAATGCTCAAATGGTTGCTAAATTCGAATTCAGCTCCAAGAACTAGCCTAGAAACATGAAAAACTCGAAAAAGTGAACCGAGGTCACCAAAGGTCAATGACCTGACCTGACCTTCAGGTGACCTTGACACCCACCCTAATGCATGGGAGCAACATCAAATCACATGTTTGAACGTTTGAAACCACGAAAAGCTTGTAAACGCGCGGCTAATGCGAGCCGACATACGCCGAATCGCGATTCCGGCCAAACATGGTCTCGGAAAAGAGGTCACAGATCAAAGGTCATTTGAGTCAGGGTCATGAAATTTTAAGGGTAGGTGTAAAATTGATCAATACGAGGGTACTGAAAGTTTCGTCGGGATCGGCCGCCTTTTACGCGAGTTATTCGCGAAAAACCTTAGGGGGGGTTGCATCAACCCTCCCCCCTGTGCTGGCGAGGGTTAAAGATATTGCGTTCACTGGCTAGCACTGCTCGCGACTGCCACCATAAACGTCATTGAGCACAATAAATGTCTTATCAAAAGTCAGCTACAGAAGATAAATGGGAATTTTAGAGTCACATAATATTGAGGCTGCAAGGAGAGGTTACACATTGTCCGGCGTTCGCTGAATCACATTCGACCAATATGAATTTATCGGCTACTGCCGATATAGCACATTTCGAAACTACATTGACTGCAGCTGCATGTTGCAGACATATTGCAGTTTCAGGCCTAACGTGCATGTAAACAGACGATTTATCACAATACATTCGTCGAGAATCTTCTGCTTCGTGTTTTCTCATCAATTGGATGAGATTTAGGTTGCGTTTTGAACATGGGGATGGAGATGGTCGGCTATCTATAATAGCACAATAACATTCTCGTTAAGACATTAAATTAAAAAATGTCAAGCGTTGGTAGTGTGCTCTGATGAGATTTAACTGCGTCAGACATACCTAGTTATACCTACCGTAAAGTAAAACAGTCAAGCGGCAAGCAGCAAGCAACGTGAAAATAGTGCAGCTCCTGTAAGTATGCACTAGGATCTATAAGTGCATACCTACTTGTTCTCAGCACTTTTGATTTACCGTTTTCATTCCTCTCTAAATAGTGGTCTGGTCGATCTAAATTAGAGTAGCTCCTAACCTGGTCCGAGAAACAGCCCGTGAACTTCTAATCTAAATTTCTATTCAGTCTCAAGATTCTAAACCCTATGCAACATGCATATTTAATATTTGCTTTTCTTATCACTTGAACTAAGTCTCGCATCGGTGAACTTGATACACTAATCGTGCACTACAGATATCTGCTCCATGTGCGACTGCCACACAAGTGTCGTGTGCCATTCGTCACATAGCTAAATGCCAGTCGTTCCTAAATTTCTACGTCATTGCGAAAGTATGAAGCCGCAAATGATTGAGTGGGCATATCCAGATTTTCATACGGCACTTGTTTGACGGAAATACCACAATATCCACCGACAAACGCCGGGATAAGATAGAGCCGGGTGGCCATGGGACGGTCACTCAAGTCGGAGACACGTCACCTCTGATAGCGACGCCGAGCTGACACGAATAACAGACGAGCAGCTGGGGAGCAGAAGACAAACAGACGAACGGAGACCGGCAGAGGTGCCGTTGTGCTGCAACGGCAGCGCACAAAGAGGCCGATGAGGCCGTGTGGCGTGTTACACAAACAAACGAGCCACGTAGGTATAGCTGTTATTGAATATTGACTGCAAAATATGCACTGGAAAATCAGCCAGCAAGTACCTACGTCGACGAGCAGCAAGTATACAAATCCGGACCCCAAAGAGTGTACACTGTACACAGTAGTGAGCACACATCACCACATCAGGAACAATACAAACCATGTAATCAGTAGACATAGACGACACCGAGCGCAAATTTCGTTGTTATTCATTATTTGTATTTGTTTATTTTCAGCACGGATTTCGATCCGTTTCAAATATTCGAGGTGGACCACGACTCGTGTCAGGTGCTGCACGTCACGGTGCTGCGCGGCGACAATATCACCATGGGCAGGACGCGCGACATGTGTGAGTACGACAAACCCGGGGGCGGAGGGAGGTGGGCATGAACTCGGGGAGTGTGGGACGGCGCCGGTAGGGGCCTGTCTCACACACTGGGCTGGTGCCGATGGGTCGTAGCTGCCACAGGCCTGTTTCATCGTCTCCCCGGTCACCGCTATACAATGTGCATGTTATAAATGACTGTCGTCGTGTTAATAAACACAGAAATGTCATCTGCGCCTGCATGTTACTATGTCATCTCAGTGACCAGAGGTAAGTCATAACTAAGGCACCACTTTGGTAATGGCGGTGTTGTATGTACCTACTAATGAGGTGAATCTGACAAGAGGACAAGAGAAAGGTACTCCATCAGTATTAGGGATAGCTACGCGCAAATTTTGAGAGCCTCGTAATCAAGCAGAGTAGTTATCTGTTGTTGGGTTCGTGGGATTCGGTAATGAAGTCGACAGAGTGAAGGACGTCACAAATTAAACACCGCTGAATGCCAAACACTTCACTAGTCACGAACTCTACCATTTCAGGCAGTTCTCATGCCGACAGCAGAAACCAGTAACTCTACGAGGGGCGTTCAAAAAGTTCTCGGCCCAACCATGAAGGAGTTGGAATTTCGGCCTGCAACGCGGTGTGTTCAATGATGTGTTATTGGGATGTCCACTTACGTAGCCATTAACCAATCTGCCCTGTGATTGGTTCAGGCTGCTAATTAATCGTAGCATAGTTTGCTATTCCCGGTCAGAATGGGCGACGCCCAGGAGAGAGCAGTGATTTGGTTCATGTATTGCAGAAAAATGCACCAAACGTTATTCACGAAAAGCTAGTGCCAACACATGTTGAGGTTTGTCTTTCTTACAGTAGCGTCAAAAAGTGGGCATCTCTGTTCAATTTTGGTCAACAGATCATTAATGGTCACCCCCGCAGTGGCCAGCCATCAACAGCATTGACTCAAGAAAATATGAAAAATAAGCACTTCTTTGTGAAAAATGACAAATGTTCTGGTCTGAAACAACGCAGCAGAAGCGGAGTTGTCTATCAGGTTCCTCAAAGCCATTCTTCGATAGCGTATTAATATGTTTAAGATCTCTGCAAGATGCATCCCCCGTTTGCTGACTCCAGAGAGACGGCAAACTCGAAAGGAGGCGTAACGCGAAAATTTTGGCCCCTATATCGAAGATCCAAAAGAGTTCATTGAACTACTTGTTACCGTGGAGGGATTGTGGGTGTCACACATTGACCCTCAGGGCGTGACCGAGTTGCACAAGTGGAAGCACACTGAGTAAAGGCCACCAAATGTGTGCGACATGTTTAAGTCAGACGGCAAGGTGACAGTGGTTGCATTTTTGGATGATGGCGGGGCTCTGCTCGTCAACTTTCTAAAACAGGGGCGCACAATTAATGATGAATGCTACACCTCCCTTCGATAACAGTAGCGAGCAGCAGATATCAAGGAGAGACTAGGGAAGCTGACTAAAAGTGTGCGCCTGATCCAGGGCCACGCACCAGCACACATGAGCAGGGTGACGATCAGCGAAGCAGTGAGCTGTGGCTTCGAGTTGTTGTCACAGCCACTTTTTTCCTCCGTACCTTGCACCCTCAGGTTGCCACCTCTTCCCCAACATAAGGAAATTGCTTAGCTGTGTCAACTTCGCTGACAGCAAGGAGACAAAAGCAGCCGTCTTGGACGTACCAGATGCGTCCAAACCCCATTTGGCTATGGAGACCCAGGGGCCTCTCGCGAAGCGCTGCGCGAAATATTTTTGTCTTAACGCTGGTTATTTGACTAAATGAACATTTTTGGTCTAATAAGTCGACATCGTATCTCTGCTCCTTCATGGTCGGGCCGAGAACTTTTTGAACGCCCCTCGTATAGGCGACGATGTTTCGCCCAGAGCCTTCTTCACCAGCATTACACAATACCGCCGCCAAACGGGCAATACAAGACCAGCTGCACAGCATTTGATCAGCTCCCAACCAATCATACCGGATAAACCTACCCTCACCGAGCCGCGCCCGCTCACAAAACACAGCAATCCACCTGTCTGTCAGCCTCCTTGCCTTCCTACGACGGAATCCCCGCACAAGCTATCCTGCGGTGACCCAAATTGGTGTCATTAGAGATCCGTCTCGCCAGTGCAACGAACCGGCCGCCGTCCGTTGGCCCGGCAACGCTTCGCCCTGGGTTCTGGTCGTTTACATAGCCTTGGTTCTGGTGTAGCAGCCGCAAAGTATGGCACTGGCCAGAACTTTTCGGAATGGTCTCGTTGAGACAGGTGACCGTTTGGAGTGCCCGGTGGAACGATTCTCACCGGGTATGTCTCGTCTGGATGGACGGCCGCTGCATTCTGAATTCATCTGCGCAGAAGGGCGCGGTTGTGCTCCGCTGCCACAGCCGAGTTGAATGCATGCATTATCAGCATGCTAGACTTTGCCTGCGAGAGAAAATGCATCGGTCGCTATGCCAAGCTTGCAATTGATTCAGCGTTCCTCAGCTATCACTAATGTCACCGTAAAATGTGTAATTATTTGGCGGCATGGAACAGGTACTAACTATAACTACACTAAAATAAGCTTGCAATAGCCATCAAACCAGGAGATGCATGGCTGCTTAGGAAGAGGAAATCATGCTTTTGGTGCTTTTGCTCCACTTATGTTCCTTTGTTCAATGGCCCACAGGCGGCACTGAGTGCAGTCAGACATTTCCCGCGAAGCACAGACATCAATTACCTTTGAGACTCGCGCAGCTCGAATGCATTTTCCGGCCTAAAAGTGGCGGCGCTGCGCGTCGGTGGCCATAAGCGGAATTGGACGCCATGCGGCCATCCCCCGGGCCTCGTCGGCCGCACGTGCAGTGGCCTGCCAGCTCTCCCCGGGCGCCGCTCCGCCCGAGCCGCTCACCGGCCGTATTGGCCATTCAGGAGCGCAACAGGCCGCCTGTCGAGGCGCAGCGAGATGCCGCCCCGTGGGACACCGGCCATAGAAACTCGAAAAAAAACATCTCTGAGTCCCTCCGTGTCCCTACAGAAACAGCGAGCTGCTATGTTCATTGGTTCTCACATCCGCGACTGCGATGCATTCCAAAACGTGGAAATGCTTCAGGCTAAGGCCATGCGGCACAGCATAACTTCAGGCGCACACCACTAGCGCCATCTTTTGAAAAAGCTGAAAGTTTCTCTACAGGATGCATAAATGCGCGGCTCGGGCCCTTACCACGAGTTCACTGCTAATATTAATATCCTAGTATCCCATTACTTCCGACACAGGAGTTCCAACATCCACGCCCACGTTGCATGTCTGCGTCGCGTCGGTCGGTGCGCCGGGTACCTACACGTCAGACCGCGAGCGGCTCCGGGTCGCCGGCGTCCGCATACAATGGGGCGTTCCGGAAACGTAAGGCGCCAACTCAGCGCCTGCAGCCCCTTAGGCGCCCATCCGGGACGTCTGATACGGCCTTCGCTTATCCAGTCCTATACCTGTGTCAATTTTGATCGCTGCAATGCTCATTCACCCGACTTTTATTAGCCGGCTTTTATTAACCCTCCAGTTGCGTGTCATGCCCACCAAGCAGTGACTACTTTTAATTTTGCTCGCACCAACCATCACCCTCTCCCCTCCCCACCCATCCCGCCCCCACTCCCTGTCCGCCTCGCTGTGCAGATACGCTGGCGGCGGCCGGCACTCAATGCACGGCACAGTGACGAGGCACTCGACTGACATCCGGCCCGCTCTGCCCCCGGGCACTCCAACTGTGCAGTGAGCAGGGCGGGGCCGCTCTGCCTCTCAACTCTCCAGTACCTCACCCACCCCGCCCAGAGCGGCAGGCAGGTAGTCTGGGCTCGGCCTGGCGGTCGTTAGATATGCGGATTACGGGGCTAATCGACCTTGCCGATACATTCCATGGTAAATGAGGTGATGTCTGTGTGCCTATCTTGTGCAAACGGTGCCTGGTATGTTATGGAAGATACGTGCTCGACAGAGTGATAAACGGGATAAACGGTAACATACGTCCATAAATGACAAACAGTAAAACCTTTCTACACCTATAGGTATAGCTTCCGCATAGGCACTACATCTCGTTTCCTCATTTGTGGTATGAGTTTAAGTTTTGCTTTATAACTATACAATAAGTTCGGTCTCGGATCTCGGGTTATTACTCTGCCGGGAATCCAAATACAGCAGGCTGTCAAGAAGAGCATGACATTTATTCCACATCAAGGGCATAACTCAACCCGTTTACAGACTTCACCAGACCTACATGGCGTATGCGTCACCAACATACACCTGTCTGTATATGCATGACAAGCCAGCCAGCGATCGTCCACGTTTTGACGACCGCACCTACAGACGAGTTTCAGATGAGTTTCAGCTGTTTCCAGAAAGTTTCGCCATAATGTGCGCGGTCGTTATACTTACCATCGTCATGAAACGACACACGAGTTCGTTCGTCTTGAGTGATGGCGTTTCTGGATAAAACAACATTCTAAGAAATTACTGACGTGGCTCTTTAACATCACATAGTTCTGTTCGACTTCCATATGTTGGTAGGTAAGTAAGCATTTCCATGAAGACTCACGCGAAGTGCGACAGCGATTTTTTATCGACATCGGCCAATGTTCAAAATAAAGATAAAAGATTAAAGATTCCGATACATATATAGGTTCCGTCTTTCACAAAGGCGCTGTTAAATTAACAGAATAATAATAAAAGCATGGACAGCGCAGAAGTCTGCGTGTATAACAATCCGACCGGAGACCAGCTGGCTTGCAGACTCGGGCCAATGCTGCAGACTCGGACCAAAGCTGCAGGCTCATGCCAATGCTACAGCCTCGGACCGAAGCTGCAGTCTCTGCGCTCAGCAGTGCCTAACGCCGGCCATCCGTCTCCGCGTCAGATGGCCAATGTCGGCCAATTGATGCCAAGTGGCACGTACGCGGAGCCAAGCGCCGCTGGTCAAAGTGCCTCATGAAATATTCCAGTGAAGTTGCAGATCAAATTGAGCGGCTATCCAAAAGGTCAAACTCTCCTGCCATCGTGAACAATGATCATTTAGAAATGACATCTCTGAAGGGTGTAAGTTAGAGGTGTCAGTTACAGAAAATCGGAACACCGATACCAAACAAAATACCGACCAAAACCATGAGAAAATACCGAAACCGAACCAAGTTGGGAACATGAGGGTAATACCAACTTTTTACCAAAGTCACAGCCCCTTATACGTAAGTGAGGCTTCATAATACCAACAAAATACCAAAAACATTAGGACTGAAATACCTAATACCAAGTTGGCATCGGTTTGGTATCGGTATACCAAAAAAATGGTATCCGATGGACATTTCCAGTGTAAGTGACACGGTATCAGGGTTAAATATAAAACTGACGGCGTTCATCTCTTATTCTTGGTCCTTGGCTAATCTCATTCTTCAAGAAGTGATCAGGCCCGGTGCACAAAACTAATGGAGCTTAAGTGCTAAATACTCTGCGTAAATCTGTATTTCCCGATTCAGCATCCTCTTATCGACACATGGTTACGACAGGACCGAGAATATAATTACTTGGAGAATTCTCATCTCGTAGCACCAAGACGATGGTGCTTGTTTGAGCTTCCCCATTGAACGTCAAGCATTCACGCTGTGGTGAACTGCCTCTCACACTGGGAAGGCAGCAGCTCAATGTCTCGGCTGTGCTGTTCCCCTGTACGCTTCATCCACACTCCATTAGCGAGATAAGCCATCGACTCAGCCAGCCGCAGTAGGCTGGCTGGCTGAGCCGGCGGACCTTGTATTCCTACTATCAGCCGGCGGACCTTGTATGTAAACATCAGAACATGAGTCGGATGTCTATGGGCAGATAGAGACAATACGCGCGCTTACGATAGAATGTTGACCTTCAAATCCCAACTATAGACTGCCGTGAAGTGGTTGGAGCGCAATGTGACGCTTCTCAATAATATGATGATTGGTATTTGGTAATTCACGCTGAGCTAACAATAAGGCAAGCGACGCCCATCCGTATCAAAACGGCAAAGCTGTCTCCTCCCTCTCTCTCTCTCTTTTTCTCTCCTGTTGTTTGTACCGATTGAACCTGTTTCACCAACCAATAGCATGGTTATTACGGAGCGAGCGAAGCGAGCGGAGTCTCATACTGAATTAAGGGAAAATCCTGAGTATGAGCGGCCGGCCGGCCGGCCGGCCGTGGGGACGCTCTTCAAAAGCTAATATCTTAGGAACGGGACATCCGATTGACAAGCGGTCTTTTTTACTGAATGTCACTTGGACGTAAAAGTTATGTGGTGTGATGGCCACCATGCGTTCTTGCCAACCACCGCACGTGGTGCATGCTAAAGTTGGACATTTTTTAAGAACCCTCAAAATTGCAACCTCAATAACGGCACAACGGTTGGGCCGATTGAATTGAAACTCGGTACACAGTTAGGTCTCCATCAGATAATTAATCTGCATGTGTTAAGGTTGGGGTGCTACAGCACGTGCGCACGTGCAGGGGGTGCTCCCAGATCTCGAGAACGGCTGGGCCGATTGCACTCAAATTTGGTACACGGCTGGGGACCAGTTAGTAGGGTGCCGTGCAAAAGTCAGTTTGGACCCCGCTTGCACGTGCGGCGTGCGCACGTGCAGTGTGCCGCTTCCAGATCTCGAGAACGGCTAGGCCGATTGCGCTGAAATTTGGCACATCGCTAAAGACCGGTTAGTAGGGTGCAGTGCACAAGTTAGTTGGAGGTACCCCCTCGCAATTTCGCACGTGCAAGGCCCATCCTCTCGCTCGCTCCGTTGGTCGCCCAAAAGGCGTTTTACTGGTTGGATAAGTCCAGCATTCACCTTATGGCATGCAATTCAACGAAGATTCGAAGCAAAGCAAAAACATTTATCAAAAGCAAAAGCAAAAACGTTTACATCTTCCTCATCGTTTTTCTCTGTTCACCAAGAATCCAATCTCGACATAGGCAAGTTGAAAGTATCGGATGTAGAGCGCTCCCTCAAACTCCTCCCTCTCCGTAAGCACACGCGTTTAAAGGGACCCTCCCACCTTAACATTAGTTTTTAGTTGAGATAGCCAAATTGGTGGCCATGGCCTGAAAATACCGGTTTGGGCATTCACAGCATCGAAAAATGCTTTAATTCGGAGATATGGAATTTCAAACTTGCAGTTTTCGGATTCTAAGGGGCTAATGCATTGGTATGCCCCCTTAGAATTTGTGACGTCAGCGGAGATCTAACGATTTTTAAATCTTTTACTAAAACGTTTGGCAGCACGCGGTGGTATATGCTGCTTTGCGCGCAACAAATGCCGCACTTTCAAATAAAGTCGCTAGGAACAGCAGAGATCCCAAAAAGTAAACAAAAGTAAAAGTCTAATATCTTGAAAACCGGTGAATATTTTTCGATGAAATTTGGTAGATATTCATTTTTGCTCTTTCTGAACCGAGCGACATCACTTTCATGCCAATTCATTAGCTTTTTTGAAGGTGGGAGGGTCCCTTTAATTTCGGGACGTCACTCGAAACACGCACGTACGGCTCTAATGGGTGTGTCTCTGACGGCCAGAAGTGAACAATTTTTCATCTCAATTGTCTCTGCAATGTCATGTCCACATTGAAGCTGTCCTTTGCAATTTTCTTTGTTCCTGAGCGCAAGAGGAAACCCTTAAAGCTGTTCTTCTCTACAGTTACCTCTGAAAAGTCCACAACTTCTCCTCTAGGTTTTCTGCGTTTCACCTGTCACAGTTTCAAAGCATGTTGGGCAGCGGAAGGAGCTCTCGGGAAGTGCTTGTTATCTGTGCATGTGCGCTGAAAACGCGCCAAAGTAGCCTATAAGTGGTGTCATGTATAAGTGGTGTCATAAGTGGTGTCATGAAGGTATCTCGGTGAGGGGGCCAGGGTGGTGACTTTACACTGTTAGTATCAAGGCGAGACCCGTGCTCCATTCTACATATAGTTTGAATGATCTGGGATGCAGGAGACTAGCCTCATAACCGTCTCGTCTTTGTTCGCCAGTGATCCACTCCCTCCGCCTCTCCTCCATTCCTCTCATCTCGCGCGTGTCCGTCCCTGCGGCCGCCAGACCCTCTTCCAATCGAGATGAGATGACCACACGTCCCACGGGAGTGCAGCTAGCCAGGTGACTGGCACAGCACGAGACACAGCACTTCCGATCCTGTCAGCTCGGTGGATCAATAACAGCAATACAGGAGATTCAAAACCCGATCCAGTGTGCCGCAGTAAACACTCCCGACCCGTACGGGGCATTCCAGTCCCACAAACTGACACTCCTGGTCAAAATGGACACCCCGAACCATACGTGATCTTTCCGTGACAATGGTGTCCCTGGACCCTGTGTCATGCTAGAATCAATCCGACCCGTACCGCGTATGTACTAACATACGTGATATTTCCATGACACAAGTGCCCCGTGTGCCGCAGTGGACACCCCCGACCCGTACGTGGTGCTCTCCGTGCCGGGTACCAACGGTGGCTCACAGCGCACGCCCTGTGTCGACAACTGCATCAACCCCGTGTGGAACCAGGAGTTCGAGTTCCTCTACGACGCAGAGCACAACAGCATCCTGGGTAAGACGGGCCGGATCCGATCCGTGACGCGTCAAATAACTATAGGAGACAGGAGGTTGATAATGCGCATTGACATCCAGACTTCTGAAGGGCCTTCACTGTAGATCACTTAGGCGTCCATCACGTCACTAACAACAATATTTGATCTGTCCCATCTGCTTACTAGTTACTTTTGCTTTAAGTTTGTTCCCTTCCTAGTTTTTGACGATGAGAATGCTGGGTTTCCCTTTTTCGCATGGTGACAAGGCTTGCAAGTTGGAATGCACGGGTGGGAAACTTCATGTCACCTGTTCATAGGTCCATTGAATATTTTTTCTTCTGGTGGTAAGAACTCTCATTCAGTGCAACTGACTTGCCTGCACAGTCATCGGTATATCGGTATATCGCGGTACCCGAGCCGCTGAGTGTCCACGACTAGCAGGCACACCTGAACTATCCAGAGCATGAAACCCAAAGCTATGCCAGGTTGAACTTGAGCCTCTCAGCATTGCACACAATGGAATGCAAGCTATGTCTGACGGACATCACCCAGGACAAGTACCGCGTGAACCTACCGTATGCTCATCAGACCAGGCATTAATCGCTTACCGCAAGCCCAAAACGTGGCACCTTTGGTGTAACGCCCTTGGATAGCATCTGTACTGCTGTCTCAGAGGTTACTGAGTTACACTCAGTAGGTAGGCCTATTGACGCGATGTGCATTGTGCAGTCGGCATAAAGAGTCGTTTGACCAGCGGCCCTGCCGTCCGTCACTAAACGAGTCCGGTCGGTATCGGGGCGAGACGTGCTCTCTCGGCGTCATTGATCAGACGGGCCTCACACCGGCTCTCGGCGCGCCGTACACGGCACGGTAATCTCAGCGTGTCGGCCATGTCGGCAGCGAGACAACACACGCCGCGCCGTGATATTGGACACTACGCAGGGGCGCAACCAGGCGTCCGACCAGGGGAGGCGGCTGTGACACAGGACGACCAACTAACTACTAGGTTATCAAAGTCACAAACATCGGGCAGAAACTTGACATAAAGGACGAGCAAGAGGCAAGAGCAGGCAGGAGGTAAGGCAACTAACTACTGCTTGTCGGTCCCATGTGACTTGCCACGATGCTCTGATCATGCTGCCTGTTTGCTCGGCTGGGGCGCCGATTGTCCAAGGTAATTGGAACTATAGTGCACCACGTAACGGCGCTCTCAGCCGGGCGCCGTCTGATGAGACAGCGACAAAAAAGGCACTTAATGGATCGCGAATGAGAAAGGCAAAACACAGCGGACCAGAGGGTCGCGAATTAGGAGGCTTACTGATAAAGTGAGCATTGCAGCACAACGCAAGTGTATTTAGTAAGTTACGCCGACGGTCTACGTATACCTACCTACATACTACTACATATGGTACGTTCCCGCTGGCCTCTGAGAAATACCTACGAGTGGCACAGCTCTGCATGGTGCGTTAAAACACAATAGGTAATTGCAAATTGCGCGAGCTTACATGAATCAGGTTGCAGAGATAGATACCTATTCGTACTTCGGTCGTGCCACGGAAATAACAGCATGACATAGCAGTCCATCTCCGAGAAATTGCATGAGTTAACGCATTGCCAGCGAAGTTATTAATGAACGTATCGTTTTCATGGTCAGGTGAGCCCATAGCGTTCGTCAAAGAATTTGAGTACGACGCAAAGTTACGACGCATATGAATAATGAATATTTTCCCACACCGACAGCGTACGTGGACATAAATCCCACGGAGCTTTGGTGGAGGCGACAACACCGCTTATTTTCTCGCTGACAGAAATCGCTCTGGTGGACGCCAACATTGTCGTGGATTACGTCATCGGCATCATGAAGGTGGACATCTCCGACCTCAAGCTGGACGAGGAGACGCAGATCAAGGTTCAGTTCGGAGAGGTGAGCCCATCCTTATAACGTTCGGCCCATCGCTGCCTCGCTCAGAAGGAACAGGACACGATATGAGATCATAGGCGGCGGAATGGGGAGGCCAACGGGGAACCGTGCCCCCCCTTTGATTTTGGCATTTTAACATTAGTCCTATGAGCGCCGTTGCATGGAAAGAATGGGACCAAAAGTCGGCAGTGGCCCCGTCCCTTAATTGAAGGTGTTCCGCCGCTACTGTATGAGATGAGTTGACACGGTATTTTTTACAGGAATCTGCCGTTCACTTGAGGCTTCGGCGAGCAGTCAAGTAAGTGTGCAATAAGCGTACCGAGCAGTACAGTTCAAAACCTCCTGGAAATGCGGTTTTAACTTGGAAATCTGGATTAGTATACTCTTTGAGTTCAGTCTGCAGCTTTTGTATTACCTTATAGTATGTACAGTTACAACATGTGACTGTCTGCCGACATACCCAGCATCTCGGGCCTTGCAATCGATCTTGCTGCAGTTCACGATGCGACAGTCTCCCGATTTGAGCCGGCAACTTCAGGGCAATCAGTGCAGCCGTGCGGTGATTTCCACAGATTGCCGCCGCGCCGGTAGATTTAATTACCAGACGGCCGCTAGCTAGTTCCGACAGCGGATCCATCTCAATGGCCCGGTCGTCTAACGAGTTTGTCCCCGGCAGTGACAGCACAGACCTGCGGTTCAGCCTGGCGCTCTGCGACGAGGAGAAACAGTTCCGCCGCGACCGACTGAAGCGCTGCATGAATGCCATGAACGCCTGTTTCGGGGAAGAGGCCAATCTCACGTCAACAATGAAGGTAGGAAATTATCTAAGGAATGAGTTGTTGACGTTTTATCCAGCAGATCGAGCAGAAGCAGCGATGATCGAGATCGACCCTTTGAGCGATCGAAAAGAGATCTAGGATTGGAAAGAGATCGGACACTTTGGTGACCAACCATCGGACTGCATTCCAAATAATCCACACGAACGACATAAGTGACCTTAGAACCACGAGATGGACAGGTGAAGTCCGAGGAATTAATAAGCATGCTTAAAAACATCCGTTAGGTGCCAAGTTACATAATTGATGCTCATGATTTGTGATTATCATTTATGATGCACTGATAAGTGAGCGTACATCACACCACAAACGAACTGGTCGCGATTCTGCTGGCCTCCACAGTCCACACTAGCACGACGGTCACACCGCCACATGACCTCTGACCGGCGACTCCTGCCGTGCCGACAGACCCCTGTGGTGGCCCTGCTCGGCTCCGGAGGCGGCTTCCGCGCCATGATCGCCCTCTGCGGCGTGTTCAAGGCGCTCAAGGACTCGGGCATCATCGAGATGTGCATGTACATCGCCGGTCTGTCGGGCTCGACGTGGTTCGTCAGCCAGCTCTACACCCACCCCAACTTCCCGCACATCCCCACCGACGAGGTGCTCGACTACTTCCGCAAGAGGACCGGCCTCGGCCTGCTCTCCCACCTGAGCGCCCAGACGTTCATGAGGTCAGTCCCCAGACAGCGAGGTGGCTGCCATATAGCCAAAGTTTTGACTCACTAGGAGCGACCGAACGCTCCCATTACAGGCGCCGAAGGAAACCCGTCCACTGGCCAGTGACTGGATGCAAGCAACTAATTCAAACCAGGAATGACATTTATTTGCACGGAAATTTCAAACACACCGTAAACCCACAGAGCGTGGCTTTATACCCATTTAGGCTCAATTCACTTTTTCGATGTACCACTTACATCTATGCCGTGCTTAGCAAAACAGCAGCGGTGTTCTTGTTTCACCAGCCACCTCACCGCGCCGTTCGTCAGGTACATGAACACGCTGGTGGTGAAGTCAGTCAGCGGCCAGCCGGTCAGCTTCACCGACTTCTTCGGCATGCTGCTGCGCGACACCATCGTGCACGATAAGGACGCGACGCTGTCGGACATGAGGCGGGTGGTGAGCGGCGGCCACGCGCCGCTGCCACTGTTCACCAGCCTGCACGTCAAAAAGAACGTCTCCGCTAAGGTGTTCCAGGTAAACAGAACGTCTCCGCCAAGGTGTTCCAAGTAAACAGAACGTCTGTTAATAGTTACCAGCTCGTAAATAAAAAATTAAAATAAATATAGGGGAAGTTGGGGGAACGCCGAATACTTTTTTTTCTGACGCCCGTAGCACGCAAGGTAGACAACATCAGCTATTCTTGTTGGCGTCATTCGAGAGGCCAGTCTTTTGCCTTTCAAACATACCAGGCGCATTTGATGAATTCGCATACCGTTAAGCGCACAAACTAAAAATATCAAAGAGGTGACTTTTTCGGCGTTGCCCCGGACTGCGGGGAAAGCCGAAAATGGGAGAAATGATCTACGGGAATGCCGAAATTGATGTTTTGCTATTTTATCTCAAATTTTATCCAGAATTCGTCAAAGCTGACACGCGTTTTAAGAGCTTGAGGACGCTTGGTGCACACTGAAGTTATAATTGTGTGATATAATAAGAAAAAGGCCAGGTAAATCATTCCTTATGGTAACAGGCCGTTGTGTCGGTTGAAAGTGTAATTTGTGTGACTAAAAATTCGCGTTGCTGTTCTACAGCAGTAAAGTCCACGTAGCGTGCTTTAACGTGCGTAATTGCACGTTTTCGGCATTACCCCAGCCAGCCATACTTTCCATTTGCAGGCCCATAACTTTTCAACGTGCCGTATAAATTTCAAATAGGCAGCACACTTTTGCAAAGACATGCTGACGATTACTTGACCGAATTGGCCAGACAAACGGTAGCATAATGAGTAAGAAATGCAGCTTCAAAGGCGCATGTAGTACAAGGAACGCGTACGTACCTTGAAAACGCTCTTGGCGCCCTCACAGCCGAAGTATTCCGAATGACGACTCGTAACAAACATGCGATAATTGTAGTTACTTAAGCTTCAGAGCAACACTGACAGGTGGCATCCATGTCTTACGGTTTTCGAAATATCTCGAATTTCGGCTTTGCCCCAACTCCGGCATTGCCCCAACTTCCCCTAATAACAGAGTTGAGAGTAGATATACCTAATAAACATAACCAGCTGAATAGTAAAACTTACATTCGAAAGGGTCTGGTTGAAGACGCATAATAAAACTTAACAAAATGGAAAACTTGAACCATAAAGGATAGGAGCAAAGTTCTCTCGCAGAAAACTGGTAGGAACCATAAACACATGTCTTCTGCCCGAGGCCGAGCCCACATAATTTCTCATTTCCTCGACGCACGCTTGATATCGCCTGACTCCGACATCCCATCGGTTTTATGGCGAACGAGAGCTGACTCGCCTGACTCCGACATCCCATCGGTTTTACGGCGAACGAGGACGTACCGGTGAGCCGAGTAACCCTCGTTCGATCTGTTTCAGGAATGGGTCGAGTTCACGCCGTTCGAAGTCGGAATTCCAAAGTATGGCACTTTCATGGACGCCAGCAAATTCGGCAGCCGCTACTTCAAGGGTAAAATCGCCAAGCCGTTCCCCGAGTACCCGCTGCACTTTCTGCAGGGCATCTGGGGCAGCGCCTTCACGATCCTGTTCAAACGGCTGGTCGACAAGGAGGAGAGCGATCAGCCACAGTCTCTGGGACAGGCCGCCGAAATCCAGAACCTTCGCGACCTGGGTGAGCACGTCAGCGCTAAGTACTTGCCGTCTCACACACAAGGCGTACGATTGTCCATACAAAGCACTCATTTTCAGCTGTTGTCAAGGTTCGATGCCAGGAAGCCTCGACTTGAGTCGATGTTTCATTGAGCTACAGTGGCATATGTCAGGGATATGTTTGCTTGAACGGAGTCGCCGTTTCAGTAAGCTGGAGTTAAAACAGAGCTGTTTCAGTACGCTGGTGTTTAACCAGTTGTTTCTTGTTTCAATACTGGAAGTTTGACCAGAGTTGCCGTTTCAGAGGAGAAGGTGGACGATGAGGATATTGACGCGGACGAGAGCGCTGGCGTGCCTGAGGACCTGGTCTGCACTGCGGAGGAGCCTAGCAAAACAGGCGAACCAACAGCAAGCACCAGCAGCGCAAAGACCAACGAGTTCTGGAACAAAGAAAAGTCAGTCGTGCACCATCAAACCGTAAATGTAAAAATATATCATTTCATAACTTTAAATTCTTCCGAGCAAGTGGGGATATAAAGTGAATACCACCACCTAGGTACCCATATAAAATAAAATCACAATAGGTCTAGGATTAGAAACCATGCGCACGCTCCTAGTAAATAGACCGACATCGGGTACCGGGAATTAGCGAATGACCCGTCCCGTGACCAGCTGCCGTGCGACGCTGTGAACCCCTGCGGCGCTGGCCGGCAGGGAACAGCGCGACCAGGAGCTCAAGGAGAAGAAGCTGACGCTGTGGCAGCGCATGATGACCAGCGAGCTGTTGAACAGCCGGGCGGGCCGGGCCGGCGCCATCTTCAACCCGCTGTACGGCCTGCGGCTGCTCCACCGACATCCCATTTCGCCCTTCACCGGGCCACCAGAGGATGAGGACGACGGTGGGTGTCTCCCTGTCCCACCGACACCCCATCTCGCCCTGAGGACGACGGTGGGTGTCTCCCTGTCCCACCGATACCCCATATTGTCCTTACGGAGACGATGGTGTGTGGTTCCCTGTCCCACCGACACCCCATCTCGCCCCTCACCGGGCCACCCGAGGACGAGGGCGATGGTGGGTGTCTCCCTGTCCTAGCCGATCTCGCCCTTATAGGGAAAAATAGTGGGTGCCTTCCTGTCCCACCATCTCGTCTCCCCGAGCCTCCGAGGGGAATGATGATGGTAGATATTCTGCTACCCAATCGATACCTTATCTCACCCCAAAAGAGAGATGCCAGTAAGCGCCATCCTGCCATATCTAATGCCATTTCATCCCTCACTCACCGGCTCAAGTAAGGGAAGAGAGGAGGATGGTGATGCGTGTCGCGTGATGTGCTACATTGCTCGCACCGAGGACAAGAGTCCTCTCCCAGACTGACAGGGTGCGGTTCTTCTCCAGAGACGGATTTTGCGCGGATCCACGAGATGATGGACACGGCCAGCGAGCGTCTGCTGCTGGTGGACGCCGGCCTCACCTTCAACTCGCCGTACCCGGTGCTCCTGCGGCCGCAGCGAGGCGTCGACCTCTACATCTCGTTCGACTTCAGCGGCCGGGAAGAGGACGACAAGGACCTCTTCTCGGTCAGTCGAGTCGCGCGCCGAGCAATGCAAAGAGAAGGAGAAGGATCGATTGCCTGTTAAATGCACGGATATAAGCAGTAATCAATGCGTTATTTATACATGCATCATACCCCGTAATAAGTAAATGAGCATTAGGTACAAGTAGTTTTCATTAAACATCAGCCGCAACGTGTGTGTAAAGTGGTTGAGGTTGAGTCTTCTATCCATTTCCATAACGTTTTCAAAATGTTCTCATTTTCAGGAGCTATTCTTAGCAGAGACTTGGGCACGGAAAAACAGGCTACCATTCCCGAACGTTCGGGAACAGGCTCGCCAGTTCGAGACCGAGCCTCTCAGAGAAGTGTACATATTCAGAGGCGAAAACTGCCCTACCATCATGCATTTTGTCCTCGTCAACACGTCATTCCGGAAATTCAAAGCGCCAGGTATGTCCAATGTCCATAGCCAATATGTTCTCAAACCACCACGTCCCTAGACATTTTCTGGGTTAGCGGAAACAATTGTTTCTTGAGTAGGTAATGACGTGTTGGAAATTGGAATTCATACCATTTCTTTCCACTGTTTTATTGTTTTTAGACAAGCTAGAAAATCCATCAACCATCGAAAGTAACCTTATATGCTTACTGGTTGCCGGGTACTGTATGAAGCAGCGCGTTTACATCAAAGGGTGCATCAGTGAACCAAAATTGAAATGGCGTCTTATTGGAGCCACAGGAAAGCAATTAAACTATTTGTACGTGTTCCAGGCGTTCCGAGAGAGACCAAAGAAGAGTTCGAGTTCGGAGATTTCAACCTATTCAGCGGCGGCCAGGAGGCATTCGGAACGATGAACTTCTGCTACAAGACCAAAGACTTTGACCGGCTGAGTCAACTCACCGAGTACAACACGAGAATCAACCTGGACGTCATCAAGGCCGAGATTCTGCGCGCCATCAGAGCCAAACAGCTCACCAGCAAGATGAGCCTCAAGGACGTCGTCAAGATGAAGATCATGTCGCGGAGGTCCAAGGCCGACTTCATCTCGCTGGTGCGCCAGATGCAGCAGGGCGCTCTGCTCAGCGCCGACCCGTCCCGCGCGCCGTCTGCCCAGAACAGCCGGGCCGCGTCGGCCTCCGCCAGCGCCACTGGCAGGGAAGCCGAGAACGGCGCGCTGCTCTCCGCCACCCTGGACAAGTTCGTCTCGGCACTGGACCTGCTGCCCGCTGCCGACGGCGGCGAGGACGCGCCGCTGCCGCACCGGTCGGCAGACCAGTTCGTGTCGGCGGAGGACATGACCGATGTGACCCGACCTCGACCTGACGCTGGCACCTCGCGCTGAGCGACGGTGGGGAGACGGTCTACGGGGACAGAGGCCCTGCGACGCGGACGGAACACCGCTACACCGGTGGTCGATATCACGGCCAGCAGCCCGAGCTTCTGTCAAATGTCAGCCATCCAATCCTGTTTTATCGAGGCGTCGGAGACGGTCATAGGTTATCGGTGTGCTCACTCAGTGTTTTCTGTGTGAACCGTGGAAATGTCAGGCGCGATGGCAGGGAGGAGAGGCATCCCTGCCACTGGAGATAGTGTCGGGTCACGCCACTGATAGGTCGGCATGAAAGAAACCAACATATCCGATTTTTGTCTTGCAGGTGTGTTACGTAGGTAGTAAGCGTACATTTTGCCCTAAATGTGATGTCTAAATAATTGTATGGAACTAAGGGCGGTGATCTAACTAGGGGACGACTTTTCCAATTCAGCTTTGATCAGGCGTTAAGTATTTTCAGAAATTTTAGTTGGGGCCAGCGCCGGAGGAACATTAAATCACACCGAGCGGGCACTACTGGAGCAGTGTTTGTGAACGCATTGCTGATTAAATCAATCGATCCAAAGAATACAGATTGTGCTCGAAATCGAATTAAGGCAGCACGATCCCGCCACCAATTGCTGTGACTCATTGTTGTCTTTGGTGTGACGATGTAGGTCTGTCCTTAGCCTTCCTGATATTTGAAGTGTTTTACCTGACATTGCCATTTTATGTGTACCTACCAACATTGCTATGCGGTATTTGACGGTTAGGTTTCACATAGTATTTTATCATATAAGCGTAGGTACTTATGGGCAGGCTCTACCAGTCTGACGTTATAACTTTGCATATCAACAGGTCATTGTTCCTAGGAATGAAGGCAGAGAAAGTCATAGTGTTCGAGTAAAAACATCAGCCTGGGAGCCAAGACAAGAACTGGAACGTTGTCAACGCGTAAATACACTTCGGTGAATGTTGCATCTCGTTAAGTGGCCTTGTCCAGCAATAGCAACATATTAAACTGGAATCAGTAAAACGCAAAAATTGGCAGAATCGCAGTTGTGAAAGAGATACGGGTTGGCGAAGCGACGGCAGGCATATCAGTAAACCCAATAGCGTACAATTCACAACAGCGCACCACAAGAGGCGGGATCATGGCGATAGAAAATCAAGTGACATTTTAAACTGTATTATTGGCTACACTTCTATTACAATAAAAACAATTGAGATATGAATGAAAGATAATACATATCACAGCTTTCCCCAAATAAACGATAAAGCTAAACATCGCGGGTTCTGTAACATAGGGCACACGGCCAGTGGTTCTGCTCGACGATCTGCCTCGCTATTCCAAATGTCTTAGCTTAGTCTTAGCTTGAACTGTAAGTGTAAGTGTACAGAAACAAGAAACTGCCTAGGATCAACAAACCGTCCAGTAGCAGAGCGCAGGCAGTGCGACCGACAGAGAACTAATTAGGACAGTAGCCTGAGCCGGGCCGGTGAGATGTCCGTAGGCACCAGAAACATCGCTCGTTTTCATCTCGCGGAGTATACGTACGACCACGTCAGGCAGACGTAGTCAGATATTCACTTGGGAATTCTTAAAATACATTGCTACATGGCTAAAATACAATAAAGAATTGCAAATGACAAGCAAGTATGCATAGTAAAACATGCTATACATCCCGAACATATAGATTAATAAACTGGAAAACCTTTCTTGATTTAGCGGAAAAGCAAAGGAAACAAAACAGGCATCCTGAGCATAACGCATACGGCATGCACAAATTAACACGAATGAAATAACTCCATGCATAAATGTTCTTTAAGTTGGCGCAGCCCAAGACGAATGATAAGTAGCGGAATACGTGGCTGGGCTTCCCATTGAATTATTAAAATCTATGACCTAAGATCTAAAAATACATTTTGGAAGCCCATATCAAGTATAACGTGCAATCAAATTCCTGAACTCACAATCTGACACAAGCCTACCAACATCAACAAAGACATTTACCGAACCTCGCTGTTGACCGATAAGGAAACTTTAGCATATGAACAATAGGGAGGCATTAGGACAAACTAATTACTCATCGAATACAACACCTGAATGAACATCTTTGCGCATTTCTTTCCACAATCAGACATCGACCACTTCCAAGTCCCAACATGAAGGTCAATGAGCCGTAATAATGAATGCAGCTATACGAACTACGATATAGCCCTCCGGCCACCAAATCACAATGAGAAACTGTCATCTTACAATGGATGCGATGAGTTCACGACGCACAGGTCCCTGTACGACAACCAACTCCAATGAACAGCCGAGGCACTCCAATGATCACGACGCAGTGGGGTGCTAAGTGACAGACTAATTCACTACCCAATGCGAGGCACACTGACGCTACAGCTAGTTATGACTTCTAGGTAATATCGATACGAGATTTGCGCCATTTAGTGAGGGTTTGTACGCTGAAAGTGAACACTAGGCTGAATAATACACTCAGCAAAAATAATTCTCGTTTGTTATCAGTCGGCACTGCAATTCATCTAGGATGGGAATGACAAATACTAATTCTTTGGGTTGAGTCAAATGTCAGCGAGCCCCCATGCCACTTGAGTTATTCCCTTTTGATGTTCCACTAGTTGAACTAATTCCAATTGTTCCCACACCGCATTCCTGAGAAAGTGGTGCATGAATTGGTTATGTCCTGTCTTTTGGTGTTGCAGCGGATCAATAACTAATAAGACATGGCCTCAGCCACGACCGACTCAAACAGTGTCAGCAGTCAAAGAGCGAAGTAGTCTCAGAATCTCAGCTAGGGCGAGCCGCCACCGCCACCGCTATTCGGCGTGCGCACGTCCGGATCCAGGAAGAGCACGCAGCAGACCACGCCGAAGCCGATGACCACGAACAGGGTGCGCAGCAGGCGGTCCGTGTTGTCGCGGAACTCGTGCGGCAGCACCTCGAAGAAGGTGATGTAGAGGAATGTGCCGCACGCCACGCCCTGCAGGACGGCGTTGGCCGTGTCGCCGGCCAGCGAGCTGCCCGCGTCCGTCACCGCCCAGCCGATGCCCAGGCCCAGCGGCGAGGCGCCCGAAAACACCAGCGCAGACGTCAGCATCCGGCAGAACGAGAGCGAGCCGTCGCGCACCAGGCTCAGGCCCAGCGAGAAGCCCAGGATGCCCTTGTGGATGCCGACGGCGGCGAACAGCTGCAGCAGCTGGTCGGAGCTCTCCTGCAGTCCGATGGCCAGTCCCTCGATCACAGAGTGCAACGACAGAGCCAGCACCAGCATCAGCGACCGGATGCCGGCCTGGCCCGACGGCAGGTGCGAGTGGCCGTGGCCGTGGCCGTCCGCGCCCGCCTCCTCCCGGTCGGCGGCGCCGTAGTTGACCGCCGCGCCGCTGATGAGCGGCTCAGATTCCTCCACGTCCCCTCCCGGCCCGACGCCGCCGCTGGCGCCGTGACAGCTCGCCACTATACCCTCTACAATAAGCACAATGAAGAAGCCCATTGCCACAGTAAACTCAGCCACTGGGAAGCTGAAGCTGGATGATATACGCACCATGATGCTGTCCATCATGTCCTGGGTGTCTGGGAACAGGTCCAGGAGGCAGGCGCCCAGGAACACACCTCCAGAGAAGCAGTTCAGCAGGCTCAGGATCCGATACAATCTGAAAACGGGCATCAACATTAAAATGATAAAAAAAACATACAAATGAACCAACAATACCTCGTTAAGAAGCTCACAAAGCAGAGCATAAAACAACAGACAGTTGATCTAGTTATGCAGAGAAGTCACATATTATCTTGAAGTACATCAGCTTAGCCATGAAACTGTTGTTAGGTACCTACCTACCTACTGCCAGCAGGCTAGAGAACTTCTAATCATTCATAAGGTATAGATACTCCAAAAATGAATCCAATATGATTCATTGAGTAGTGCATCAACATCACAATTCACATCCATGTCAATGACAGTACATCACAAAACCATCATGTCAAACAAACTGCCTACCTGTCCTTTTGAGAATCATCTGCATGCTCGACATATCTGATGAGCTTAAATGGTAGGAGAGTGAACCCGAGAGGAAGCAATAGAAGAACAACAATGATTATTATCTTCCATGATGCTAGGTCCATTTTAACCTTGAGTTCGAATCAAATTATTGAGCCTAACGCTCAAAAACACTTAAACTTGAAACTTGAGCCCAGGCTGCACGCCCATGAGCTAGTGGACGTCTGAACAAATAAGAAGCTGAGCTAAGTTTAAGTGGTTATTATATAGGCTTGGTTGAAGCTCAGCCAATGCTTCCGAGTGAGCTGAGCTAGAAGAGTGATGCGTCTCGCCTGAGCCCTATTAGCCAAACTTAAGCTCCGATGAGCTACAATATAAAACTTGAGCCGCTTGAGCCAAGTGAGCGAAACGGGCCAAGCCAAATAAACGAGCCGTGAGCTCAGCGTGAGCCAAGGCGTGAGCTAAGCATGTGGACTGCTGGTAGATAAATAATGTAAATGACGTATTTTTATTTTTATTTTTATTATCATATTTTTTCTCAAATATTGTAACATAAAAAACTTTTAACATGTTATTGTAATTAAATTATTATTATTCATATAAATACAAATTGAACCACAATTTATGCTACAATTAACTTACTAATACGTCACTCATTACCCAAAATTATCTGTTTCGCAGCATTTGCCTCTTCTGCGCCACAGACACTTTGCGCAATGCTGTCGTGAGTTAGCTGAGCGACTTCCTTTAGCCGCCATTGCGTGGTCGGCTGTGTGTGTCCGTGGACGTCTGGGGCGAATTTAGGCACGATTTTCTGGAAACGCATTGTGTTTGCGTTGTAGAATCGGTTTTTTATTCTTATCATTGTCTCTTTGCTAGGCACAAATCATGCCGAAGAATAAGGGTAAGTGGGAGCTGAATACCAGTCCACCTGTTTGCGGGTGACTGCAGAATTGGCTCTTTTTCGGTTTCACGCGAGAATTTGCATTGTTTATTCATTTTTTTTTTTAGCCAAGGATGAATTAACTGATATGCAATAACAATAACTTTTGATGCTGTATTCTTGCAGGAAAGGGAGGAAAGAACAGGAGGAGGGGAAAGAATGAGAATGAAGCCGACAAGAGAGAGCTGATTTTCAAAGAAGATGGTCAAGGTAAGTTTATTTTTACATTATTTCTATGGTAAATTAACCTTTTTTAAATGACATTCTGCACTAGTTAATTTACAGGCTATTGTTTCTTATGATTTTCCAAACTAAAAGTATAGGTACCTACAACTCGTGTGGCTGACTTGCCTGTCAGCTCCCTGGTGTCACAAAAAAATGTTGTGGTGGAGGGGCAGTAGTCATGGATCCTAGGTGTACCAGCCAAGGAAGATTCTTGAGTTTGTGAAACATCTTTTGTACATCAATGTGTTTTGTTAGTAGGGCTAAAACTAGCCATATTTCATGGTAAGGGAAGCATAAGATACAACATGCTAAATCTGATGCACAAGGTCAAATTAATTTTGACACCAGTCAACATTCTTTCAACTGCCTCATCAAATTCAATAAATTGTAATAGCATTAAGCATTTTAAGCTTGTGGTTACTTGCTTTTACTTACCTCAATGACCATATGTGAGAATTATTATGAAAGCTTGCCTTATATGCATGCTGCTATGCCTGTTTGATATTGTCTGTTCTTGAATTGAAACTTTGTGGTCTTTATGAGCACTGGTAGATCTATAAATGTGGCATCAGGTTAATCAGTGGATACCCCCTCCCCCACGAATGTCCTTATTCTCAAGTTCTCCTTGGATGCTGCTTCTCTTATACATTGTAGTGATTGGGGGCAGTTTCTTCTGCCTACTTAGGTACTAACTACTAGTTGTTGGGCCTTTTCATGGGGCAAGTTGGAAACAATTGCAAATTTTTACCAGTGTATTTTATTTTGTAGGAGCTATATGCTGAAATTTCTCATTGCATTTGGATCTGGCAATAGTGTAAACTTTTTTTGTTTTTATGTCATTTCCTGAAGTTGTATTGTGCTGACTTAAACTGTAAGTTTAGTTCAAGAAGCTATTTGGTTTTTGATGAATTTGCACATCCAGCCTGTCACTCCCATTTTTAATTGTGTGGGCTATAAAATGACATGGGCATAACTCATAACTAACTCATGATATAAGTTAACTGCATAACCTTCATTTTTGTCAGGAGATCAGCTTAGTACTTTAGACCTAGTCAAAAATAGTTGTCATTGTATAATGGATGTAACTGTGATAGGACTTTTGCATCGCAGTAGGTGTAGCCTAAGTGTAGCTGAAGTTGTTGGTGTCCTAGTCATTTACTTATGTTGGAAACTGTCTAGACAAAAAAAAAGCCTTTCACCACATAGCAGTTGCAATGGCACCGTGTCCCACGATTCACACTGTGTCACATCCCCACAGAGTACGCCCAAGTGGCCAAGATGCTGGGTAACGGCCGTCTGGAGGCGATGTGCTTCGACGGCGTGAAGCGCCTGTGTCACATTCGCGGCAAGCTGCGCAAGAAGGTGTGGATCAACCAGGGCGACATCGTGCTGGTGGGACTGCGCGAGTTCCAGGACCAGAAGGCCGACGTCATCCTCAAGTACAACGACGACGAGGCGCGGAACCTGAAGACGTACGGCGAGATCCCCGACTCTGTACAGATCACCGAGGCGGGCACCTTCGTCGGCGACGGCATGGACGACGACATCCAGTTCAACGACGTCGGCGGCGACGACTCCGACTCGGACGACGACATCGACAACGTGAGTGGCGCCGCCGCGACGGTCCCCGACCGGGAGCGCTCCGTTCGTACCGTCAGGGGGCGCTGGCTTCGATATCGGGGCTGCTGGCATATTGAGCATCAGTTTTACTCATGCAGACTTTGATGGTGTCATTGATTAGATGTTTTAATAAGTTTCATTTGGCTTTGCAATATGCAACTTGCATGTTTTTCAGTGAACAATTATTATTAACATAACATGTCTAGCCATGCATTGTTTTTCAATGATCTATATATCTAACATTGAATAGACAACTGGTCTGGCCCATATTAAAAGCTGAAGTAGTTTGTGGCTGTTACTGATTCATCCCTAAAATAAGGACAATCTAACATGTTCTTAGTCAGTTTGACAGATTCTCCGTAAACGTCTCTCGACACCATAGATTACCGTATCGGTCCCCTAGACATTGCGTAATTTGCCTTATCTGCTCCCGCGCTATCACCTCCAGACCCCTCGGATAACGGGGAAGGGGAACGGTTTCGTGTTAGTTGCGATAAAGATTCTGCCATTTAGAGATAAGATGTCTGTTTGCGTCTTAACTGACCGTCTGGGAATGGGCATTTTTTGATAGGTAACGACGATTGGGCAAGGGGTGATACGGATTTTTCATTTGTTTATCTTTTGGTGACGAAATCTTAACTGTCCTTTTTATCTCGGAACTGAAAATCTATGGATGAGGTTATTTATGTAAAGAAGACAATATGTGGATGTTTTTAATGATAATGCACTGGAATAAATGATGCGTAGACTTTTACTAGTTACACTCGATAGCCGCGGCTGTTGATATAGCATTTGATTTGTGGCACTTCCGGTTCATCTTGTCTATCTAACCTTCTGCACAAGTAAGCCTCGTCTACTGCGCGGCGTTGTCTCTGTGTAGGAGTCATGACACCTGTGTTTGTACCTGTCCACAGATTTAACGCCGTTATCGACTGTTTGTTGGCCGTCGGACCGCGGCGGCACGGGAGGAGAGACAGCCGGGTACGTCTGCCTCTATTTACACACACATCGTGCTGCAGTCGCCGGTGTCGCAGCCCGCAGGCGCCGGCCCGGTGTCGGTACCGGCCCTGTGTCGTCAGTACGGTGTCGGTACGGTTTCGGCGCGGTACGGGCAGTGCACGGTGTGACCGGCAGTGAGAGGGGGGTCGCCCCGGGCCCGCTGTGGGCCGCGGGCCTCCGATGGACGGTGCGCCGTACCGCTGTTGAAGCTATTGCTTGGTCATGCCAGGTCGCCAGAGCAGGCGACCAGGCTCACGTGATTAACATATGCTTGGAATGGCGATAGATGTTGTACAGTGAATCCTTTGTGGGCGCAGGAAAATGGAAAATTGTTGTGTCAGACTCTGGTTGACGAAAAAAAGCAGGCATGTTTCGGTAGCTATTGGTCTATCACGCCCATCTTCTCAAATAAAATGGTTTGGATATTGGTTTATCTTTTCTTGGGTTATTGGCGACTCGTCAAATATCGTATTTTTGTTAGTGGGTCGCAAGCATAAACTATTCACTTCAAGCTGGGATCACACGAGGTCCGACAAAACACCGTCGGATTGCCCGGGCCAGCTGTGAGTCAAGTCGAGCGCTAGTCGCAGAAGTACGCATTCCTTATTCCATTAACTTATCATGAACATGGAAAAAGCTCCTTTGCGCTCAGTTGTTACCAGATAATAGCCATCTTTCTAACTTGTACTGCCCCATACCGTTAACCGTATCCTCTCCAAAACTGTTTATGACATATATATTTTGCTGAAAGATATTTTGTTGGGTGCTGATCAGTGACATTGGCTAATCTTTCCCCGGGAAGACACATGTTATTTAAAGCTGTTTACGCTCGTATCTGTTCATTTAATTGACTTCGAAACTCGGAGCGCAGCAAAGCGCCAATAAAGGAACAAAAAAGGCCTTCGAAATAACGGCTTACGATTCTTATTTCAACGACAGATTAAATGCGATAAATACGACACTCTCGGCTCCTTTCCGTCTCCCACACGATGCCAGCTCTGGTCAGGGCTGCAGGGTCCAGAGGTGGGCCAGCATATCGCCGTTCCTCTCTGCCGCCGCCACGGACCAGTGGGCGCGGCTGGCCAGGCGGCGCTCCACCATCCTGCGCCTCAGCCGCGCCAGTTCGGCGGCAGAGGCGCGCTGCACGCTCTCCGAGTGGTACAGACGGCGCTGGAGCCGCTCCAGCTCGGAGCGCGGTCGGCGCGATCGAGCCGAGGCCGGCGGCGGCCGCACCGGCTCGGCCAGCGGACCCATCACCAGCCGCTGGGCGGGTGCCAGCAGCCGGCGCAGCCCGCTGCTGGCGCGACCGGTGACCGTCTGCAGCGGCCCGGTCAGCCGGCCCAGCAGCTGGTCGGCCAGCCGGCTGCTGGCGCGGCCCACTGCCTCTGACACTGTGTCAGTCAGTCGGCCCGGCGTCAGCAGCCCCATCAGCAGCGACGAGGCCGTCGTGGTCCAGGCGTCCGTCTGAGAGTCGCTGCTGTTGGACCCCGGCCGCTTCCGCGTGACGTTGAGGGCTGCTCCCGTTCGGCTCCCCAGACGGAAGAGCAGTCGGTTGGGTCTTCTGGTCGCTCGTCGGGTGGTATTTCGGTGGTCCGTGCCGTTCCCAGGAGTCTGTTCTGACACGATGGTGGCTGAACTGTGGTTTCGGGCGTCCCCAGACGAGCTTGTCGTGTTTTTCGTTACCCCACCTTTGGTGCTGTCGTCGGGGGCG